CGCCCTCTACAGCTAAGATGATAAACAACAGCTCAACCTGGAGCTGAACTGCTGTGATTCAACGGCGACAGCATAGGCTGCAGTGGGGCTGGCTGGCAGCTGGTGTGAGCTTTCGTGAGCTGCGTGAGCCAACATGAGCGGCTGTCCAATGGCCGGTGAGTGACTGCCTCACCCGGGAAGAGCGCAATGATAATACCAACATGGGCCAGTGAAGCAACGTCCTCCACAACTAGAGCAACTTGTCTGTTCCCCTTCCCCCAATTCCCCAGCACTGTTCCCATCCCCCAATTCCCCAATAAAAATCTTTAAAAAAAAAAAATAGCTGGTCCGGCCGAGTGGCTCAGTTGGTTAAAGAGCTCACTCAAGAGTGTGAGCTCTGAGCACCAGCAGTTCGATTCCCAGCCCAAGCTGAGCTGTCTCTGAGCTGCCAACAGGTGGCAGGATGGCTCTGCTAAAAAAAAAAATATATATATATATATATATANAAGAGCGCAATGATAATACCAACATGGGCCAGTGAAGCAACGTCCTCCACAACTAGACTGAAGAACAAAAGGACAGCAACTTGTCTGTTCCCCTTCCCTAATTCCCCAAAGCTGTTCCCCTCCCCCAATTCACCAATAAAATCATAAAAAAAAAGAATCAAGATGGACTGATAATGGATTAAATGTAGGGAGGAATGACAGTTGGCTTGCTTAGCTGGGTAGAAGTTTAGTTTGCTAAAATGAGTCCCACTAGAGGAAAAAAAGAAGATTTGGATATGAGTAAATTAATCTGAGGTGAGAGAGAACAGGAGTTAGAAATGTAAATTGGAGGTTCCATTAAAAAATTCAAATAAAGTTATTGAATAGACAGTTAAAATATGGGTATGAAACTCAAGAGAGGTCTGGGTTGTGAAATAAATTTGGGAGTGATTGATATAGATCATAATTAAAGCCACGGGAATGGATAAGATTACATAAGGAGTAAGACGAGGAGAGGGGAAGACCATCTCCTGAGATATTGCAACATTTCTCTTGTTCATTTTTTCCTGCTTTGTTTTTCCTACTTCTTCACATCTTCAGGAATATACATGATATATTATGAAGTTATTATGACCTGTAAAATTACAACTCAAATCTGTCTAGTTTTGTAGATGTTCTATTTATCACTCTTTTATCCTAACATTATTAAGGAAGTATTAACGGTCTTAAGGAAAATTGTTTTCTTTAACTTTAGTAACAAAACTCATTATAGCATTTGTTTGCCTCAAGATTCGAGTTAGGGAAGATGAAGAGCAGCAATTTACCACAGATATAGAAGTGGTTTGTTTTCCTTTCATAAATGCATCAAAATAAGAGCCTTTGGTGTTTTGCATTTTGAAAATGAGGGGGAAACAGGCCTTTTCATTTTATTGTTACAAGTTGCCCTCAGATCCCCCTCTTCACTTCATACTCTGACAATACCTCTGATAAAGGACTACAGAGTATCCCAGGTTGGGAGAAAAACATTGTTTAACAAAAATAGGTAAAGCACACTCGACCAGCATATAACAAAAATAATATGGAAGAATGACCCAACAGTTAAAAAAAAGGGCGGGGGGAGCAAAGATATTTTAACAGGTTACAAAAGGTCACAGAGCCTCTACTGCTTGTTTCCAGTCAAAGCTGTTCCTCCAAAGGAGAACACCTGGTTAGGAGCCATATCTATACTTAACAATTGTAAAGCTTCCCTCCACTTAGGTGCATTTGTTGGTAATGGGGCCCTTCCATGGTACCACACTGAACATGAGGCATTCTTGAAAACACAAAATAAAATTCTCTATATGACAGCATGCTTTTCACTGTGAATTTTAGAGTGCAATGTTTGTCACTTAGTAAAAGCCAAATTTCAGAATAATGGCTTTTCCTTGTAAATAATAGAAAACTAGTTTAAAAGGGTTCATGTGTATAGCTTGGGGCCTAAGTTTATAATCAATTCAACCTAGACACTTTAACTTAAAGTTTTATTGTAAGTAAAAAAATATGATTTAAATGACATTTTTATCTCTCTCTTTATTTAGTCTTAGTTGTTTGCTGCTTTTCCTTACTCCGGTTTTCTGTTTTTTATTACTTCTGATAATTCGATACTTTGTCTTAGAACAGATTAAGAAAAGTATAGAAAAAAGAGGAACCTTTAATTATTTAATACATAAGCTCCTATCATAGAAGAAAGTTTTAAGTAACTGATTAAAGCTAGTTTTGAGATGATCTACATGATGTATAATTTTTAATACAATTCTCTTCCCTACCCTCTTTTGACAACTGAGCTGAAACTGCTACATTCAAATAGAAGGTCCTTTGCAGTATGAAAATATATAAATATGCCTTACCTCATAACTAAACATAATAGTAAAATTGATGAAAGAATAGGTAATGATTCTTAATAGCTTAATGATTTAAAAATCCAAGTTGTTATTGAATCTCTCCATATTATTGTTGAATTCTGCGCCACCTGGGACAATATTCTAAGTAGTCGTTAAACATACCATAAAGCAAAGCAATTAAAAGACTCAAATTAACCTTCATATATTTAGGTTTAACAGTAGACTGTTGACAACTTCACGGGCTCCAGAGGTGAAACCCTAGCCTCTCTCTCAGATTGGTTATATTTTATTTTTAGATGTAATCACTTCCCTCCGGTAAATGGTTAGTGACCACACGCACAGGTCTGCACATGAGGAAACTAAAACGGGAACCTGGTGCTGTGAATCAGCTACACAAGACACAAAAAGAGTCCCCTGTCAGGCTGTGCCCAGCATGTTGTCTTCTTCAATAATCCTTATGACAGTGCTGTGCTGACATTTTAATTAATGTGACTGATACTTGAAGTTAAGCAATTTCCATGGTATGTTCAGTATGTGTTGTTTCATGACCACCTTCTACCAAATGGCATAATCAGCATCAACTCTTCATTTTGTTCTTAATTGTCCTTTAGTACTTTATGTTACATGAATCATGTTAGAGTTCACATTCATTTTGAATACACATTGTTAGGAAAAATTTTCAGAAAGATTAATTTGGTGAAGTAAATCGGACCAGAATACATGCATTTTGGTAGTCCTACATACAATATAACTTGATGAAAGAATTGAGATATCAAAGCCAGAAAAGCAAAACATTCAGGGGAATCCTAAGCTGTGGAAGTTTTGGCTACGCAAGATGATTGGGTTCTAGAGATCCGCCGTGCCACACTGTGTCTGTAGGTAACAGTACTGTATTATATTTTATAAGAGGGTGGATCACATGTTAAGTGTTCTTACCACAATAAAGAAAACGTTACTAAAGGCAAAAAAAAATAACACAAAATAAAATAAAAGGAATGTGGTAGCATAAGATGCAAGACAATCAGCTGAAAAAAAAAAGAAAACAAGAAATGTCAGTTAATTATGCTAAAGATGAGTATTTCTCTAAGTGTTTTCCTCAGACATGCTGTATTAGATTTACCTGAGTGGCTTGTTAAATATGTAAATGACTGAACCCCACCCCAGCCTGTCGCACATGATGGGAATCTCTGAGGCTGGGGCTTGGGAATCAATACCCCCATGATTCTTACACTAGAATTGGAAAACCATTTATGTTGACCCTTCGAATGATTATTATCAAGAACATTTATTACGCACTAGCATGTGCCTAAAAACTGTATCCTGCTTAATCAAAGGTTCATTTTCCTTTCCAACTAAAAATGACTTATTCCTCTCTGATTAAGTTGCAAATTGAATAACCCACTTTGTCTGTTAAAAGAAAGAGACATAAAAAAATTAGAAAAGTAGCAACATTATCAGAATAAACTCCTCTGCTCTATACTGACTCATACTTCTTTTTGCCGTAAGTCAGTCGTGATTTATTTCTCAGTGAAGAAAGAGTTTTTCCCCCCAAGAAAGTATGACATTCTCAGGATTTCATTTATACAGTGGTCGAATATTCAAACTTTCCTGTGGATTAATTTAGGAATTGTACCTCCTGCCAAATTAGTAAAAAATCATAAACATGTTAACATTCTGAGAGACAAGATCTGTTATTTTTTTATAAGAGATCATTTTTATTTTACGTGTGCTTCAAATTCAAAAGTTTCTACTAGAATGTACTTATACCTGTTTAGTAAAAATTATTAAAGTTACATTCAAACAAATAAACACAATAAGACTCACTCACTCAGAATACATCAGCATATGTGACCACTGTCACAATACATCATGTGTGGTCCTTTGCATAGGAGAGTTGAAGATTCTCTTTCCTTAGCAAATGGCTTATTTGGTGTATCTAGTTCAACTTTGAATTATGAGGTACATCTAGTTCAGTAAATTACACAGCCTCAATGCTCAAGAAAAGTCTTCCAAATTATCCACAAAATCATTTATAAAAATCAGAGGTGAAAGTAAAAGTTTCGAATTGCCTTCAAGCATTTTGGAAATATTTACGAGGTTGGTAATTGCAAATAAATATTATCTATTTAGTTAAAACAGTGCTCTAATGGCTGTTAATCTTTTGTTCACCTCATGTGAGATGCTACAAAACTGACATAATTAAACTACATTTCCTTTCATATCTCCTATTTATTTTTCACTTTTCCTTAATGAAAATTAGATACATCCACAGTTAATCCTAATTGGTGATAGGTTTCTGTACTTATAATTTGAATAACTTTAATAACTTAAAGGGGAAAGGAAGAAATACAGAGAGATGCACACAAATATATTTATATTTGTAAGTATCAATGAGCGAAAAGAAAGGCTATAACTATAACCTCTATATATTCTATTTAGGTAATAGACTATAATATGCATATAAAAAAATAAGGTAATTTCAGAAATTCTCAATGTGAACATGGGCAATGGGGAAACAATGAATTATTATTTATTTTATACTAGATTTAATCTATGGCCTCTTCAACCTTAACACGCTGTATTTTCATAATATTTAAAAATAATTCAAAGATTATGAATAGTATTTGGTGGCTGGAAAAAGAGGTGACCTGGATACCTGGCTTGTCCCTGACCATCACGGAGGTGGAAGCAGGAAGCAGGAGCATTGCCACCCAGAGCCAGAGTTTCCAAGAACCAGTGTGCTGCATTGTGCCTCGAAACCATGTGAACTGACCACAGATCTGCAACAGAACAAAGTATTTGAATTGAGCTTATTATGCAATTCTTTTCATCAGTATCTCCAGAAAAATCCTCATAACCAAAGAGAACACAATAGATTTTTACACTATATATGATTATATACAGTCATCCCTTGGAGGTGACTGTATATAATTTGTAGGGGATTGGTTCCAGGACCCCCGAGAATACCAAAATCTTTGGATGCTCAAGTTTTTTATATAAAATGGCATAGTATTTGCATATAACCTATATTTGCATATAGGCTACAGCAGGGGGGGTCTACACATCACTTATATGTGGATTCAGCATAGGTGCTTGAAGAGTGGTGAATTCAAGTTTTGTTTTGTTGGGCCTTTCTGGGATCTTTTTTTCCCATATATTTTCTATCCAAAGTTGGTTGAATTTGCAGATACAAAACCTGTGGATACAGAGGGCTGACTGTAATTGGATATTGACTATATATGTAATTATATATCAATATATATTTTGATGTGTATAAAAGAACTCTGAATATATTTTCAGATTAGTTCCTAATTATCAATGTCCATGCAGCCTATTATAACTTAAATTTTCCCTTGTTTTAATATTTTTAAAGCCGTACCACTAACAATGGTTTGTGTGTATATACATATATTTAAAATCCTGGTAAATACACATATCATAAAATTTACTATTGTATATATCAGTGGGGTAGATTCCTTCACATGGCTGTGTAACCATCAATACTCTCCATAACTTTTCATCTTGCAAAACTAAAACTGTGTACCTATAAAAAAAAAACAACTCCCCATTTCTCCCTTCCTCCACCGCTGGCAACCACCACTCTATTTTGTTTCAAAAAATCTGACTACTGTAGATGCTTCATATAAGTGGAATCATACAGTACTTATGATTTTGTGACTTTATTTCACTTGGCATAATGTCTTTAAGTTTCATCTATATTATTGTATGTCAGAATATCTTTCTTTTTTAAGGCTAAATAACATTACACTGCATGCATATGCCATATTTTGATGGACACGGATTGCTCCCACTTTTTGACTATTGTGAATAATGTTGCTATTAACATGACGTATAAATATCTGTTCAAGTCCCCCTTTCAATTCTTTTGAATGCATACCCAGAAACAGAATTGCTGGATCACATTATAATTCTATTTTTAATTTTTTGAGGAGCCATCATACTGTTTATCATAGCAACCGAACCATTTTACATTCCCACAAATGATGCACAACGGTCCCAATGTCTTCACATCCTTGTCAACATTGTTTTCTGGTTTTGTTTTCTTTAATAGCAACCCTCCTAATGGGTGTGAGATGGTATCTCATTATAGTTTTAATTTTCATTTCCCTAAGGATTAATGATGTTGAACACCTTCATGTGCTTATTAGCCATTTTTCTATCTTCTTCTGAGAAATGTTTATTTAAATCCATGCCAAATTTTTAATCTGGTTATTTTGTTGTTGCATGTAGGAGTTATTTATATATTCTGGTTATTAACCCCTTATCAGATATCTAATTTGCAAATATTTCATGTTGTGGGTTGCTTTTTCACTCTTTTGTGTCCTTTGCTGCAGTTTATTTTTACATAGTCTGTGTTTCTATTTTTCTTTTCTTGTCTGTTCTTTTTATGTCATATGCAATTATTTATATTTTTAAATTTAATTGTATTGTTCACAATTCAATTTTCTCTTCTAAATAATAGTTTTCCATATTTTGGCTTATCTGATATTACATTTTCTATAAACATAACTATATTGTTACTGGAGTAACTACTAGACATGAGAAAAGTATTTTTTCCTTCTATTTAAAGAGTAAAATGGATATATGTAATGCTCATCTCATCTGAGCATGCCATTAGCATATTTAACATTAATGTGTTACCTTCCATAATTGTTTATCTTTCTGATGTAAACTACTACTTTATAGGTATTACAATAAAGAGAATCCCTATAATAGAAAACTGACACTACTTATTTTTTCAATTAAAATTGGGGTGACAATGGTTAGTAAAATTACACAGGTTTCAAGTGTACCATTTTGTAATACATCATCTATATATCACATTGTGTGTTCACCACCCAGAGTCAGTTCTCCTTCCATCACCATGTATTTGACCCCATTTACCCTCATCTACCACCTTCTTCCTCCCTTACCCGCTGGTAACCACTAAACTATTGTCTGTGTCTATGAATTTTTGTTTCTTTATTTGTTTGTGTTTAAATTAATTTTTATAGTGAAATAACTAACATAGAAATAAATTGAAAGTAAAAATGTAATGGCTACCTTGGTGTATTTGACAATTGCAGTATTACTGGAATAGCTATTCTACGAGTTCCAAATATACAATTAATATTATATCATATATTTGCTACCATTCAAAGTTGATTCAAGAGTCAAATATAAAAGAAGCCATCATACCAATGTCTAAATATTGTCGATAGACACTGTTTAAAAGAAAACTAAAGCCACCATCTTTGGTATTCTGCTTGTGCCAAACACTCTAAGATCAGCAAATTCAAGATTTTAGATATTTCTGGATGAATAGCTTAAAGCAGCAATTGCAACATGAAAACTATGTGTGGTTCTAAATATCAAACAGCTGGTTTTATGCCTTATTTCTTTTGAGCTCTCTCATCTAGATATAGTCCTAATCCTCATATGACTTCACAAACTTATCTTAGCTATTATTTCAAGTCAGTTGGTAACTGTTAAAGCAATTCATTTTATTTCAAAGAAATAAACTCACAAATATTGATCTAACTTTCAAGATATCCTTGATTGTTTGCATTTTTAACCAAAGTGATTTGTATTAGTTGATACATTAGCAGTGTAGTAGAGTGGTTTAAAACCATGGCTTTATGTCTGGGTTCTACCACTTATGTATTTTCACTAAGCCTTCATTTATTCACCTGAAAACTGGGAATAATACTAGCAACAAATTATTTAATACCTGGAAAGAGTACAGTAGAGTGCCTTGAACACAGTAAGTGTTCAAAAAAAGTACCTGTTATTATAATTGTTCACTCTACATATTCATAAATAAAAATTAGTAAAAATTTCCTCAGCCTGAAATTAATATTGATAGTTGGACAATGGAGAAGGGCCAAAGTATCCTAAAAATTTATGTCTGTTGAAGCTTTGGCCCCAGCTTCAGCAGCGAAGAACCAGAACACTATACAGTCCTAAACATATGAATTTAATCTTGAGGTCTCCTACCTATTTCCTTGGGCCACTTAGATAATACTCATATTTAGCTTCAACCTCAAGGAGAAGATGTTATGGTTAGTTGACTAAATGTTCTACTTACTAAAGAATTGCCATCCCACCACTCCATTGAAATGTCTCTGGCCAAGTTCAGCAGGATCTTGAAAGGAAAATCCTTTTCTGTCCCTAGCATCTAATTCAACTGTATGTGGCATTTCCAATAGCAGACCACCCCCTCTTCCTTGAAACCCTCATTCTCATTGGCCTCTGCCCTCACATTCTCTGGGGTTTCTAAATCCCCTTCATACGCCTTTTTTCTACCTGATTTCTTAACACTGGAATCTGTCGGCCCTCCTCAATCTTTTTATGATGCCTCCCTAGGTGATCTCACCATTCTGTTGGCTTTAACTAATGTCTGTCAGGTGATGAATCTAAAATTTACATTTCCAGTCTAGTCTTCTTCTCTGAACTTTAGACTTTGTATCCAGCTGCCTACCCTTAGATGTCATACGGACATCTATAACTATAGTACAAATTAAACACTTGACTCTCAACCATAACTTGTTTCTCTCATTCTCTTGTCTCAATAATTAGTACCCATCGAAATGCTCAGACCAGAAACCTAAGCATCACATTGATTCTTCTGTTTTCCTTCTTACCATCTCCCACATCCAAGCCGTCAATAAGCCATACCAGTGTTACTCCGAACACATTTCAAATCCAACCAGAGTTCACCATTCCTCTTTTACTATCCTGGTTCAGGTTGCCCTGATCCAGACTCAACAGCTTCCTTAACTAATTTCCCTCATCCATTATCAGCTCCTCACCAAATACACTCTCTACATAAGCACTAGTGAGCTTTTCTTAAAACCAGAGTTGGATCATGTCATTTCCCTGTATCAAACCCTTTGATGGTTTCCCACTGTCCTTCAAATGCAATCCAAAAGCCTTTCTCTAGCCTAAGAGCCCTGAATCTGGCCCCTACCTACCTCTCCAGCCTCATTTGATACCTTTCTCTTCACTAATGTTCTATTCTTCAAATTCCCTGGTTTTTTTCAACCTCAGGGATTTTGTGCATGCTATCTCCTCATCTGGGAATGTACTGGGTCCTGTTGATCCAATGTCTTTAATTTAAAGGTTACTATGTGGAAAAGCACTTACCTGACTGTGCCCTGGACCCATTATTCTCTAACTCAGACTATTTTGTTTTTGTACATGTTTATTGCCCTTGCCCAATTCTAAGCTCCTTGAGGGCAGGGACTATGTCTGTCTGGTCCATCACTGTATCCTGGGCACCTAGCATAATGCCTGGAAAAACAGGGACTCAATAAATATTAACTCAATTTTTAAAAAGAAAGAAACTGCCAATTTTCAAATCTTGAGGTACAGTGAATTACACTTATCTTTGAACCTAAAGTGACAATAATTTAATCTTTATTTTATAATTGTTAATACACTTCAGACTCGTATAATATTTCAAGGATCATTACAATGAACATCCTTTCTTTTTGTACATTTCTAAAACGTGTTTACTATTGGATGTTTCTGTGTTCCAATCTTAATTAAATAGAGATATACTCCACTCAGAAACATTTGAAAACACTTTCTATCAAATTCTCAAAATGAATCCTGTATACATATTGAAAAAATTAAATTAAATTAAAAAACACCTTTTCCAGATCTTTAACCTCTGCTGCAGGCTGTTGCAGGGTTGACCCCAACAAAATTGTCAAGGGCAAAACTTCCCTTGGGGTCTTTCTGGACCTCGCCTTCAGATTGTTCTCACTGTTCCCGG